CACTCTCTGATCTCAGTGGTTCCCAATCTGGCTGAGCAACAGGATTGCTGGCGGGGATTAGAAAATACTCAGGCCACTCCCCAGAACCCCTGTCTCAGAGTATTATGCATACGACCAAGGAATCGTTTATATAACAAGCCCTAGAGGTGAGGCTGATGCTCAGACATGTGGGATCCTCATGTTCTTGATACTCCAAGTGTCATCTGGAGAACAGCAACATGAACTCCAGCCTTGTCATAAATACAGAATCTCTTGCTCCACTCCAGACTTCCTGGATCTCAGCACCACATCCGGGTGATCCCTGTACACACGGAAGTTCCTTGTCTAAGTGTGCTTTAGACTTGGGGTCAGAACTGTGCAGTCTGCTCTGGGTGTGGTCTGATCACATCCCTTACAACTGGAGGTCCAGTGTTCAGTCCTTGCCCTCATTCTTTTCCACAGTCAATCACTTCCTTGGCGCCCACCCCCCACAGCACACTGCAGCTCACAGCCAGGTTCTCTCTTCAGGAAAGAACAGTCCTTGATGATGGGTCCAATTTCAGAGACAAATATAAGTCTAAATTAGACTCTGCTTTATAAATTCATGAGTTGGGATTGGATTCAGCACCAAGATCACTAGAACCAGGGAAGGGAGAGAGGGCAGGAGAGCAGAGCGGAACAGAAGCTCTAGAAGCAGGGCAGGAGGTGAATGGCTCTGAAAATTTGTCTCAGAATGCACAGAGACCCCCATGTGCAGGGGCAGCCCTGGGCGATGTCTGAGCCTCTGTGGTCACAGCTCCCGCTGGACAAGTTTCCACTGAAGGGACAAGGACAACGGAGCAGTGAGGTGACCCAGCTGAGGACTGACCACCTAAATCTCATGAAGAACTGAACAGCAACTAGACACAGGCCCCGTCCACACTGGGCTCCTCACTGCCTTCTCCACCCCCACCTGCAACAGACTCAGCACAGCGAACATGCGGATTCTGGAAGGTTCTCAGGTCTTTATTTGCTCTCTCAAGTTCTAGGGTTTACTTATTTAGTTAATCCATCAACCTCTCATAGCAGTTATTTGAGAAAACAAATTTATACTCAGATTCTTATTTTCAGTAGGGAAGTAAAAAGTTGCAGCTCAGTGCACATAAAGTTGAGACTGAGATGGAGACATCCAGCCCCACCTCTCTGGAACAGGAAAGATGACTGGGGAGGAAACACTGGTCAG